CAATGGAAAGACAATTGGGTCACATGTCTCATCCTTCAGCAGGCTAGCCTACGTATAAGCATATCAAGGAAGGGCTCCCAGTACCATGAAAGAGGCAAGTCCCAGTGCACATTTGGGACCTTTTCTGCTGTCTCATTGACAAAAGTAAATCACATATCCAAACCCCATCCAAAGGGTGGAGAAACCAACTCTCCTTCTTGGTGGAGAAGCTCCTCTTGGTGGAGATTGCCAAGGGGCATGGAGATGGAGAAGGCAGGAATTTAAAACTTTTTTTTTTTTTGAGTCGGTATCTCACTCTGTTGCCTAGGCTGGAGTGCAGTGGCCTGGGCTCGGCTCACTGCAACCTCCACCTCTCGGGTTCAAGCGATTCTCCTGCCTCAGCCTCCCGAGTAGCTGGGACTACAGGCACATGTCACCATGCCAGGCTAATTTTTTGTATTTTCAATAGAGACGGGGTTTCACTGTGTTAGCCAGGATGGTCTCGATCTCCTGACCTTGTGATCCGCCCACCTCGGCCTCCCAAAGTGATGGGATTGGGATTACAGGTGTGGCCACCTCACCCGGCCTTTTTTTTTTTCTTTTTGAGACAGAGTCTCATCTGTCGCCCAGGCTGGAGTGCAGTGGCACAATCTCGGCTCACTGCAACCTCTGCCTCCTGGGTTCAAGCAATTCTCCTGCCTCAGCCTTCTAAGTAGCTGGGGTTACAGGTGCCTGCCCAGCTAATTTTTTGTAGAGAAGGGGTTTCACAATGTTGGCCAGGCTGGTCTCAAACTCCTGACCTCTCAGGTGATCTACCCACGTCGGCCTCCCAAATCTGAAACAACAGCCCTGGGCAAAGGCCCTTTCAAAGGAGTTGGTAAGGCAAAGGCAAGACAGAGGAAGAAGCTGTGACAGAGCTTAGCATCTTGTTCAATTGAGTAATTGTGTGAGATGATTCCAAATTGTATCTCTTTGCTATTGGGAATGATGGTCACTGGTGATTTCCAGGGTAAGATGTTCTAGGATCAGGTACACATTGTGCACCATCTCCCAGCACAGCTCTTTCCACAGGTGCCCTCCCCTTTCACGTCTCTTTCCAAATGCCACCTCCTTAAAAAATCTTCCCCCACCCCATCTCATTCAGCTTTTTAATTTTCTTCATATCACTACTGCAATCTTTTCTTTTTCCAAAAATTGTTTTTTAAAAAACAAAAACATGAAATATAAATATATAAAATACTATTTACAAAATATATGTATGGCATAAAAAGTAACGTTGCAATGAACATTCTCCCATTTACTCCCCAACCCCTCCCCTGCGTCTGACCCTCTGCCATTTCATGTTCTTCCTCCTATTGGAAAGAAACCACTATCCTAAGTTTCCATTTATCATCTGCTTTTCTTTTCTTTCTTGATTTTTCTTTTCTTTTCTTTTTTTTTTTTTGAGACAGTCTTACTCTATCACCCAGGCTGGAGTGCAGTGTCACAATCTTGGCTCACTGCAACCTCTGTCTCCTGGGTTCAAGCTATTCTCCTACCTCAGCCTCCCCAGTAGCTGGGATTACAGGTGTGTGCCTCCACACCCAGCTAATTTTTTGTATTTTTAGTAGAGACGGGGGTTTCACCCGGCCTATCATCCTCTTTTCAATATAGTTTTACCCTGTGTGTTTGTATAAGGTAGGACTATATTATTTGTACTCCTAAATAATACACTGTGTACTTTTCCATATTTTAAAACTTTAGGGCCAGGCACGGTGGCTCACACCTATAATCCCAGAACTTTGGGAGGCCGAGGTGGGTGGATCACAAGGTCAGGAGTTCAAGCCCAGCCTAGCCAAGATGGTGAAACCCCTTCTCTACTAAAAACTACAAAAATTAGCTGGGTGCAGTGGCAGGTGCCTGTAATCCCAGCTACTTGGGAGGCTGAGGCAGGAGAATCGCTTGAACCTGGGTGGCAGAGGTTGCAATGAGCCAAGATGGTGCCATTGCAGCCCAGCCTGGGCGAAAGAGTGAGACTCTGTCTCAAAAAAAAAAAAAAAACAACAAAAAACTTTAGGCAAATGGAACCATTCTGTATGGTTCCCCCCGCCCCCACATTGAACTATTTGTAGCTCTAATTCTTTCATTTTCCCTGCTGTAATATATTCTTCTATATGCATTTACTCTCTTTTTTTAAAATCTACTCTTCTGTGTATGGACAGGTTATTTCTGCTTTCTGCCATTAAGAACAATGTTGCAGCACCTTACTGTAAACACTTGTTAATTACAAAAGAAAACAAATGAAGTAGGGAAAATAGACATCACCGTAATAAAGTGATCAAAATTAACACAGACAAGGGGTGGGCATTGTGCTATTTAGATTTTACCCTGAGCCAGATGGCACATTGCTTCTATGGCATTCTAGCCAAAGAGCTTACTCTGAATCTAGTCATGAGGAAACATCAGGAAAACCTCAAATGAGGAAGCTTTTATAAAGTTAACTGGCCTGTGTTCTTTAAAAAAAATAAATAAATAAAGGCCAGGCGCTGTGGCTCATGCCTATAATCCCAGCACTTTAGGAGGCTGAGGCGGGCGGATCATGAGGTCAGGAGTTCGAGTCCAGCCTGACCAAAATGATGAAACCTATCTCTACTAAAAATACAAAAATTAGCCTGGCGTGGTGGCACTGACCTGTAATCTCAGCTACTCAGGAGGCTGAGGCAGGAGAATCACTTGAACCCCAGAAGTGGAGGTTGCAGGGAGCTGAGATCGTGCCATTGCACTCCAGCCTCTGCGGCAGTGCGAGACTCCATCTCAAAAAAAAAACAACCAGAATTTGTTTTTTAGAGTAGTTTAAGATTCATAGTGAAACTGAGCGGAAAGTACAGAGTTCAAATATACTCCATGACCCTACAACATGCGCAAGCTCCCCCACTGTCAATGTCTTGTACTGGAATGGTACATTTGTTACAATCAATGAACCTACATCAACACATCGTTATCACCCAAAGTCCACAGTTTACATTAGGGCTCACTCTTAGTGTTGTACTTATTATGGATTTTAACAAATGTATGGCATGTATCCACCATTCTAGTACCAAATAGAATAGCTTCACTGCTCCAAGAATCCTCTGCCCTCCACCTGTTCATCCCTCCCTTTATCCTCAGCAACCACTGATCCTTTTACTGTCTCCATAGTTTTGCCTTTTCCAGAATGTCATTTGGCTATGTAGCCTTTTCAGATTGGCTTCTTTCAACCTAGTAACATGCATTTAAGACTTCTCCATGTCTTTTCACGGCTTGATAGCTGATTTCTTTTTGGCTTGGAATAAAATTCCATTGTGTATATATACCACAGTTTATGTATCCACTTACCCACTGAAGGACATCTTGGTTGCTTCCAAGTTATGGTAATTGTGAATAAAGTTGCTACAAACATCCATTTGCAGGTGTGTGCATAAGTTTTAACCCATTTGGGTAAATAACAAGAAGTGCAATTTCTGGATTGTATGAGTAGAGTATGCCTAGTTTTGTAAGAAACTGCCGAACTGTCTTCTAAAGTGTATGTACCATTTTGCATTGCCACCATCAATGAATGAGAGTTCCTGTTGCTCCACATCCTTGTCAGCATGTGATGTCAGTGTTTTGAATTTTGTAGTGGTATTTCATTGCTGTTTAGGCCTATATTTTTCAAAAATGCTAATGGCATGACCAGAAAAGCCGAGGAACCAGTTTAGATTAGATGATATGAAATAGACAGCGATCATGGATGGACTGCATCCTAAGAGAAAAAAGTGCTATGCAAGACACAATTGGAACAGCTGACAAAACTGGAAATGGAACATGATTAAAGTCTTCTATCAGTATTAAATTTCCTAAATTTGATTGGTAGTTTCATTCTAAGGACATACATACTGAAAGACTAAGGGGTTGGGCACGGTGGCTCACGCCTGTTTAATCCCAGCACTTTGGGAGGCCGAGGCAGGTAGATCACCGAAGGTCAGGAGTTCAGGAACAGCCTGGCCAACACAGCAAAACCTCATCTCTAGTAAAAAACAGAAAAATTAGCCAGGCGTGGTGGCACGTGCCTGTGATCCTAGCTACTTGGGAGGCTGAGGCAGGAAGAATTGCTTGAACCCGGGAGGCAAAGGTTGCAGAGAGCCGAGATGGTGCAACCGCACTCCAGCCTGGATGACAGGGCGAGACTCCGTCTCAAAAAACAAACAAACAAACAAACAAACACCAAAATAAAACGACTAAGGGACAGTGGGCATGATATATGCAACCTATCTCAAATGGGTCAGAAAAAAATGTAAACATAGAAATGTGGTATAACATTAGCAACTTGTGAATCTTGATGAAGGGTATACAGGAACTTTTTGTACTATTTTTGCAACTTTCTTGTAAATTATTTCAAGATTAAAAAGTTTAAAGATTTTTTTTTAAAGTGCTGCCACTAACATTCCATCCATATTTTTTGATGCACACGCGCAAGCTTCTCCAGCATATTCCACAGAATGGTGTCGCAGATTCACAAGGTGTGCACATCTTCAACCTGACTAGCTATACAGTTTACAAAGTGCCACTGACGTCCTTATTAATTTTATTTTTGCACTGTCTTTTTCTCTCACTAAAATTTAAGGTTGGGCAGTGCTATTAAAAGTGCAGCCCGTGAGCCCGCAGCATTAGCCTCACCAGGGTGCTGGTTAAATATACAAATCCTCAGACCTCCACCCCACACTTTCTGAATCAGAAACTCTGGGGGCACAGCCCGGGAATCTTCGTTTTCACAAACCTTCAAGCGACTATAAAGATTGTAGATTATATAGATCGTAGGGCCGCGTCGGCCTTGCAGGCGAGTCTCCAAGTGCATGAGCGGCGGAGCCCCATCACACGCATCAGCCTTCGTGAACCAGTGCGCAGCGCGCCTTACACGCGCACCCTCTCGGCGCTGGCAGCTGGCGCCCAGATCCCCCGCCTGGGTGGGGAGGGGCGGCCGGACGGGGCGGGCCGGCAGCTGGCGTCCCCGCCCCGAAAGCATTCGGCCCGCCGCGTCGAGCCGTCCTCTTTCCTTTCCTTCTCCCTCCCCTTTTCCCTTCCTTCGTCCCTTCCTTCCTTCCTTTCGCCAGGCGCGATGGAGCCGGGGCGTCGGGGGGTCGCGGCGCTGCTGGCGCTGCTGTGCGTGGCCTGTGCGCTGCGCGCCGGGCGCGCCCAGTACGAACGCTACAGCTTCCGCAGCTTCCCACGGGACGAGCTGATGCCGCTCGAGTCGGCCTACCGGCACGCGCTGGACAAGTATAGTGGCGAGCACTGGGCTGAGAGCGTGGGCTACCTGGAGATCAGCCTGCGGCTGCACCGCCTGCTGCGCGACAGCGAGGCCTTCTGCCACCGCAACTGCAGCGCCGCGCCGCAGCCCGAGCCCGCCTCCGGCCTCGCCAGCTATCCAGAGCTGCGCCTCTTCGGGGGCCTGCTGCGCCGCGCGCACTGCCTCAAGCGCTGCAAGCAAGGCCTGCCAGCCTTCCGCCAGTCCCAGCCCAGCCGCGAGGTGCTGGCTGACTTCCAGCGCCGCGAGCCCTACAAGTTCCTGCAGTTCGCCTACTTCAAGGCAAGTCCGCCTCGCCCCGTCCCAGGCCCCGGCCCCGCCCCTGACCCAGCCCCCAGGCCCTGGCCCCGCCCCTGCGCCCGGGACCGCGTTGCATCGCCAGTTCTAGACCTGGCTCCCTCCCACCCAGCCCTGCCAAAAGTCTCCCTCCAGATCCTGCCTCCTTCTTCATCTCAAGTAAAGATGAAAATGCCTTTCTTGAACGCTAGCTCTAAGGCAGAGCATATGTACACAGAACGCAGCACAGCGCCAGGCACCCAACAAAGTGCCTGATAAATGTTCTCTGTTATTTGAGGGCAGACGCCTCTTTTCTGTATATACCATTAAAGCCAGTCGCCTTTTTTCTGAGCGGTGACTTGCGATAATAAAGCAGAAGACCTGAGGAGCCGACGAGTACCTTTTATTTTTATTTTTAGTTGAGACGGGGTCTCACTGTCGCGCAGGCTGGAGTGCAGAGGCACGATCATGGATGGCTCACTGCAGCCTTCACCTCCTCAGGCTCAGGTCATCCTCAACCTCAGCCTCCTGAGTAGTTGGGATTATAGGCGCATGCAACCCCACCTGGCTAATTTTTTTGGTATTTTTTGTAGAGACAGAGTTTCGCCACGTTGCCCAGGCTGATCTCGAACTCCCGGACTCGAGTGATCCTCCCACCTCGCCTCCCAGAGTTCTGGGATTACAGGCGTGAGCCATTGCGCCTAGCTGACTAGTTATTTTTAAAGAGAATGAAATTGAGGCCAGGGAAGAGCAGGGACTCCTTGCAAGGACACATCCCTGCTTGAAGGCGAACTCTTGCACCGTGAGTCATCAGGATTGGCCCTCTCCGCTGTTTCTTTCATCTAGAATTTAACACAGTTCACTGCCTCCTTTTAATGGCTGCTTAAGTTCTCTCTGTGATTGCTGACTAAAAATAGCCACAAATTGCAGTTCTCTATCCTATGGGTTCTTACGCTGAGGACCCACAAGTTTTAAGAATGGGTCGAATTCCCTGTCACTAGATAAAGAGGCTCTAGCTTGGTGGGTCTTCACAGAGTTTGGCTAAAAAAGCCCTCTCAAAGCCCAGGTTCTACTTCCTCTGAGAAAGATTTTAAAAGGAATATATTGTGTTTATTTTAATAACTACAAAAATAGATTCATGGCATATCCTAGACTCTTGAGGTAGAAGATTTATCTTGTTTTTAAACTTTGTTTTCAGTCTCTGGACTGCAAGATCTGTTTTTCATATTTCCACCGAGACAGAGCCACGTGTATTTTGTGTTTATATGAGCAATAAAATAACACAAAACCCCAAAGAGGAGAAAAGCTGGGTTACTTCTATACTTCTATGCTTAGTTACAGTTTTATATAAAATATCAATTTTGTGAATGTTTGTTCTGGCAATTAAAAAATAAGCAGTTTTAAAATAGAAGCAGGGAGTGGGATTAATAATAAAATTCCAGACTGTTGAAAATGAGGGCTGGTTCAAACGAAGCATCATTTTTTAAGCTAAAAATGACTTATCTAATTCTTTTTTTGTATAGCTTTTGGCAAATACAGTCTGAACCAAATTTAGGTCACATAATCAAGAGGAAAACATTTTATTTTTAAACCTAGAGAATACTAGAAGCTCTGATTTCTTTAATATACAGATGAATTTGAACTGGTGATACAGGGAGGAGGGGAAGAACATTTTACTCAATATGACCATAAGGCATGGGTTTTCTCCTTCATGATGGTGGCCCCAAAAAGTTAGGATGGTCATAGCTTCTCTTCAAAACCCTTTACAGGTCTTGTAACAATCACTTAGTTGAAGGTCTGTAAAATATCCCCTTTTTTTGAGACACAGTTTCACTTTGTCACCCAGACTAGAGTGCAGTGACACGATCTTGGCTTACTGCAACCTCTGCCTCCAGGGTGCAAGTGATTCTTGTATCTCAGCCTCCTGAGTAGCTGGGATTACAGGCATGTGCCACCACGCCCAGCTAATTTTTGTATTTTTAGTAGAGATGGGGTTTCACCATGTTGGCCAGGCTGGTCTCGAACTCTTAACCTCAAGTGATCCACCGGCCACCCAAAATGTTGAGATAACAGACTGGGATTTGAGCCACTGTGCCTGGCCACCATCTTAACATTTTGAGATCTCTTAGAGGGCAGGAAAAAGCTAAGAATTTTATTGATAAACATGAATGTTACTTAATTATTTCAGTGGAAGATATAACTGAAAAAGTAATTTTTGGTGGAGATATTGTATGATTTATTTTTTCTCAATGATGTTTATGGCCTGGCATGATGGCTCATGCCTGTAATCCCAGCACTTTGGGAGGCCAAGGTGGGAGGATCTCTTGAGCCCAAGAGTTCAAGACCAGCCTGGGCAATATAAAGAGATCTCATTTCTGGCCGGGCGCGGTGGCTCAAGCCTGTAATCCCAGCACTTTGGGAGGCCGAGACGGGCGGATCACGAGGTCAGGAGATCGAGACCATCCTGGCTAACACGGTGAAACCCCGTCTCTACTAAAAATACAAAAAACTAGCCGGGCGAGGTGGCGGGCGCCTGTAGGCCCAGCTACTCCGGAGGCTGAGGCAGGAGAATGGCGCAAACCCGGGAGGCGGAGCTTGCAGTGAGCTGAGATCCGGCCACTGCACTCCAGTCCGGGCTACAGAGCAAAGACTCCGTCTCAAAAAAAAAAAAAAAAAAAAAAAAAAAAGAGATCTCATTTCTACAGAAACATTAAAAAATTAGCCGGGTATGGTGGCGTGCCCCTCTAGTTTCAGCTACTCAAGAGGCTGAGGCTGGAGGATCGCTTGAGCCCAGAAGGCCAAGGCTGCAGTGAGCTGAGATCTTACCACTGTACTCCAGCCTGGGTGACAGAACAAGACTCTTGTATTAAAAAAAAAAAAAAAAAAAGTGATGTTTACGTGTTTAAACTCTGTTTATGGATAGAGAGGAAAAGATGGGTGGCAGGCACTTACGTTCCACCTGGCACCTGAAGGCTGGAGATCGATATAGAGGTAGCTAGTGCACTGTGGTAGGACATGGGTAAATGCTACTCTGCTGTTGGAGTTGCAGTTCTCTGTTTCGGTGATTAAGGAGAAATGCCTCAGTTGATAACCGCAATAGCAGTGGTGGGTTCCGACTGCCAGAGGGAGGCGAGGAGGCTTGCATGTGTGCTTTTGTAGAAAAGGGCTGGGCTACTGGTGTGCAGCCTCAAGGGCATCATAGGTTTCTCATCACCAGCCTACTCTAGGTCCATGTCGTTAGCTTTCTTTGGGTTCTCTTCATGACTATCATCTTCCATGAAAAACTAATTTTTTCCATAGGCCAAGTAAAAAGTAGGCCCAAGCACTTCATCAAATCCTTAATGACTGTTGAGCTCTGACCTGGACAGAGAACACTGACTCACAGGCCCTCTTACCCCAGGCCTTGCCTGGCAGTGGCCTCTAATCTCCCCGGAACCACAGGGCCTGCCTCTGTGTCATGGCTGATTTAGGGTGGCTCATGCTGGTGACTGTCTCAGGAATCTAAGGCAGGGTGGTTCCCCACATCTCTACCGCCTTCTCCAAAATCTGCCTGGGGTCTGTCAGAGGTTTAGCCGCCAAGATGTGTCTCCATGTTCCAGCTGCAGAACCTGAGTTGAAGTAAATAAAATCACACTTTTCTCTTCAGGAAGAGTTTCTGTTTTGTAAAACTCACATCCTAAGTTAGAGGCCTTAAAATCCTACTCTGTGCCCGTCTTTCTTTTCTTTCTTTTTTTTTTTTTTGTGATAAAGTCTTGCTCTGTCGCCCAGGCTGAAGTGCAGTGGCGCGATCTCAGCTCACTGCAACCTCTGCCCCCCTGGGTTCAAGCGATTCTCCTGCCTCAGCCTCCCGAGTAGCTGGGATTACAAGCACCTGCCATTGCGCCCAGCTAATTTTTGTCTTTTTAGTAGAGACGGGGTTTCACCATCTTGGCCAGGCTGATCTTGAACTCCTGACCTCGCGATCCACCCACCTCGACCTCCTAAAGTGCTGGGATTACAGGTGTGAGCCACTGCTCCCGGCCTCTGTGCCCCCTTTCTAAATGCTCTTCTGAGAATTAGCAACTCTGATTTCATTGGCAAATGCTTTAAAAGGCAGCATTCATACCCTCTCCCTTCCTTCTAGCTGAAATCCAGCCTTTTTCCAGCCAGGAGTATGAAGCTTTCTGTAGGGCTGTTTTAAAGGCAGCCCTGCCACAGACCACTAATTGGCATTCCCAAAACATCAGCATTGACATCTGGGAGTCTGCCCTCATCACCACCCACCACTTCTCTGATGTGGCCACTGCTATTGTCTCAAAATGACGTGGTTCCAATTCTGGGGCAATTCAGTACAGATATATGCCATCCTATGACTCTTAGAAATCTAGGGTATACCAAATATTCCTTTATTTTCTCTGTCTAAACCGAATTCCCTAATTCCTGCCTTGGAGCGTCCCTCTGGATTGGCTGAGTCTCTGTGCACATGCACAGGTGCCTGCCCTTCTCCCTACCAGGTTGTGCCAAGAGTCCATCAGTGTGGGGGGCCCTCTGGTTGGTGGTCATGCGTCCCCACAGGGAGGCCTCTGCATCCCTATTTGCCTGCCCTCCTGAGGCCCCCCCATAACATACCTGTTCTCCCTGAGGACTTCTGCTCTCTTGGACACTGCCGATAAGTGCCAGCCCTGAAGCTCTGGGGCCCACAGGCCTGCTGCTCCCACAGATCCCAAGGGAAACTTTTTTCCTAGTCTGGGAGATTCCCTTTCTCCCTCTTCTTCCTCCAGGCCAGTCAGCTTCTTCCTGCAGCTCCTCCCTAATTTCTTTCTCTCCTCAAACCTGCCAGGTTCTTTCGGGAGGACAGGCTTTTTTCAAATGAATAATTTGCTGGTTCTGACCAGACACCTACCTTCCCTGAGGCAGTGAAACTCAGAATCATTGGCCCCCATTCAATGGAGAGAAGACTGAGGGGAAAAGAGAGGAAAATATAAATTAATTTTATTATATTTTATTGTCGTAATGTCATTATGTTCAAATCACAGACACTCATCGTGTCCTGCCTTGTCCTGAGGACAGTGTGAGGCCCTGGGAATCCAGACAATGAATGACACACAGCTGGGTAGGATCATAGTCTGATGGGGGAGATAGACATACCAGCTGAGATTGCAGGGTGGCGTAAAACGTGGGAAGACAGAACCCAGAACTAATACAATAGAGAGGCTCTTAATTGAGGCCACTAGGAGACAGGGAGAACTTAACAGAATATATGGTCCATGCAGGTGGGGATTTTTCTTTTTCCTGTTTTGCTTATTGTTATAGACCCACATCCTAGAAATGGTGCTCTTGTAATATGACATTTATTTGCTGCATGAATGGATGAATAAGTGAGGAGGTTAGCAGAAGGTCTGTGGGGGATTTGGGAAAACAATGTATTTGTCAAGTTTCCAGTGGGAAAGATTTGGTGCAGTCACACTGGGTAATTGGAGGAAAGTTTAAGAAGGTGGTTATTTATAAAGGCGTGTGCGGTACATGGGGAATCCACAGGGATAGTGTTGTGCCCCAGGGCTGGTAGCAGTGGGATATGACCACCCCTAGGCCAAAAGGGGCAGGGGAGAGAGCAATGAATGAAACCAGGAAGGAGGGAGACTCTATGGAGAGGGTCACCTTAAGAAGAGCTGTGACCTTCAATTAGGGGACTTAGCAGCCCAAGTTGACTGTGCAGCGAGGGAACCAGGAAATGAAATAATATGACCTTACTCTCTTCCCTTCCTCAGTGTCCTGTTGGGGCTCCTCATGGCTGAATCTCTTTGGAAGCCAGAGGGCGAGGGAGTCTGTTGTTAGAGTCCACACAGGCCAGCCTCCTGGGGCATGGACAGGCATAGCCAGCGCAGAGTAGATTGGGAAAGGCAGACCGAGGCCATCTAGACAGTCGCTTTTAGGAAATCAACACTCATCTCGCAATGCCTGGACTTGGTCTTGAGGGTCCCTGGAAGTCACGGAACCTTTAGCTGGAAAAGTTATAGCAACACAAAGTTTCTGAAGGCCTGAGCAGATATTCTTGTTTTACAAAAATTACCACTCAGCATCCATGGAGTAGCTTTTATGTTCTTCGTCCTTTTAGGCAAATAATCTCCCCAAAGCCATCGCAGCTGCTCACACCTTTCTACTGAAGCATCCTGATGACGAAATGATGAAGAGGAACATGGCGTATTATAAGAGCCTGCCTGGTGCCGAGGACTACATTAAAGACCTGGAAACCAAGTCGTATGAGGTATATTTGGATTTTTACGTGGCAATTAGTGGCAACCTGGACTGTTAAAGAAATGTCTCTCCATAAGCAGCTACTGATAGCTAAGGACCTCTAGTGATTTTTGGTGACATTTGCTGAATATTATGACAATAGAAATGATTGACTTTTAGCACAAAGTGATCCATTTAACAATGACATTTTGTATTCCGTGATGATTTTAAAAGCCATGTTCCCTTTAAATGCTACATTTTAGAAATATGGTCATTTAATCATTTAGTTTTAAGAGAGTAAAGACATCTTGGAAATCATCTAAAAATGACCAGGAACACAAGAAATAGAAACATAAATCTCCAGTTTTGATGAAGATTGAAATGAGAAGGCATATGTTTTTATATACACATGCACACAAACATGCCCCAAATATATTAAAGTGGAAAATAAAGACGAGTTAGGAAGGCTGATGTGACAAGAGTAGAGGATACTTAAATCTGCGCATCTACGAAGAAGAGTTTTGATGAGAATTAGTCATAAGAACAACAATAAGAAAGAAGGATCTTGTCCTTTTGAGCACTCACTATTGTCAAGGTCTTCTGGAACTCAGGCACTGGGGGCCTGGGTAGCAAGCAAGGGCAGGGCATGGTTGAAAATGGGAATTTGGCTGGGCACAGTGGCTCACACCTGTAATCCCAGCACTTTGGGAGTCTGAAGTGGGTGGATCACGAGGTCAGGAATTCAAGACCAGCCTGGGCAAGGTAGTGAAACCCTGTCTCTACTAAAAATACAAAAAAATTAGCCGGGCATGGTGGCAGGCACCTGTAATCCCAGCTACTCGGGAGGCTGAGGCAAAGAGAATTGCTTGAACCCAGGAGGCGGAGGTTGCAGTGAGCTGAGATCGCGCCACTGCACTCCAGCCTGGGCAACAGAGTGAGACTCTCTCTCAAAAAAAAAAAAAAAGAAGAAAAAAATCCGCCCTCTTTATCTGAGGCCTTAAGCTTGGTGAAAATTCTAGGTCCAAGGGGGGACCTCAGATACCCCCATTCAGGAAGAGCTGAGAAGGAACTCCAAATGGAGGGTCTCATGCTTATTCAGGGCCTTTCCTGGCCTCTGCAAGTTAGCAGGTTTTGTGTATATCCAGGATCTCTACGTATTTCTTGGAGACTAAGTTGCTTCCTTGGTCCTATTTATTTCTCTCTCTTTTTTTTTTGAAACGAAGTCTCGCCCTGTTGCCCAGGCTGGAGTGCAATGGCACGATCTCGGCTTACTGCAGCCTCCACCTCTCATGTTCAAATGATTCTCCTGCCTCAACCTCCCTTTATTTCTCTTCTAATTGAGTCTAATCAACAATTAGCAGAAGTCCTTGAAGTTTCCACTATCTGGCACATGGTTGCCCTTCCTAGTAACTAGTGCTGAGGTATGGTGGCATTTCTGTTTAACTACTAATTAATTGTTGGAGGAAGTGGGGTGACAGACAACTGCAGATGTGGTTTGTATCTGTGTCTCCACCTAAATCTCATGTTGAATTGTAATCCCCAGGGTTAGAGATGGGACCTGGTGGGAGGTGATTGGATCATGGGAGTGGATCGTTTATGAATGGTTTAGCACCATCGCCTCTGGGCTGTTCTCATGATGGTGAGTGAGTGAGTTATCATGAGACCTGGTTGTTTAAAAGTGTGTAATACCTCCCCCTCTCTTTCTTCCTTCTTCTCTGGCCATGTGAAGTGCTGGCTGCCCGTTTGCCTTCTGCCATGATTGTAAGTTTCCCGAGGCCTCCCCAGAAGCAGAAGCTGCTATGCTTCCTGTATAGCCTGCAGAACCATGAACCAATTCAACCTCTTTAATTTATAAATTACCCAGTCTCGAGTTTTTTTGTTTTTTTTTTTTTTGACAGAGTCTCGCCCTGTCACCCAGGCTGGAGTATAGTGGCACGATCTTAGCTTACTGCCACCTCTTCCTCCTGGGTTCAAGTGATTCTTGTGCCTCAGCCTCCGCAGTAGCTGGGACTACAGGTGTGTGACCACACCTGGTAATTTCTGTATTTTTAGTAGAGATGGGGTTTTGCTATATTGGCCAGGCTGGAGGTACTTCTTTATAGCAGTGTGAGAACAGACTAATATACCTGCTCTCAAACTTATATTTTTATTTTCGTTCCATTTTAAAAACCAGTTTTATCGAGGTACAATTTATTTACAATATATTTATCAGTTTTTAAGTGTATAATGCAGTAAGTGTTGACAAATACATCCAGTCCTGTAACTGCCACCATAATCATGACATAGAATATTTTCATCACCCCTGAACAATTTCCTCTTGTCCTTTTGTAGTCAAATTTTTGCTGTAACCCCTGACTCCTGGCAGCCGCTGATCTGATCTCTGTCATAGTTTTCCCATTTTCCTTGATTCAGATTATTATCAAGGGCCTGCTATTTTTTGAATTGAACTAAATAAGAAGTGTATCTATCATAAGCAGAGTAGAAAAATCTAGATATAAAGTAACTCACTGGTTGACTTCTTTAAGGGTCAGTGTGGCTTCAGAGCTAATGAGAGCAAACTTGGTGGTGGTCTTGGTTCCCTTTGAGAGCTCATGACTGTCTCCCTTCACACCAGGAGCGAGCTTCACTAGCTTCTCCGTGCTTTTCAGAGCCTGTTCATCCGAGCAGTGCGAGCGTACAACGGTGAGAACTGGAGAACATCCATCACAGACATGGAGCTGGCCCTTCCCGACTTCTTCAAAGCCTTTTACGAGTGTCTCGCGGCCTGTGAGGGTTCCAGGGAGATCAAGGACTTCAAGGATTTCTACCTTTCCATAGCAGGTTGGTGGTAGGTCAATAGGCTCGCTACTCCTATGGAATAGTCTTCCTTAGATGTCTGCTCTTTGCCTGCATGCCTTCTAGATGCCTGGAGTGGCCTCTGAGGAACTTTTGAGCATATTTATTAATGGGTAACTGAGGGTAGTCACCACCTGCATAGATAAACCTTTGACTTGGCAAGGGCTTCTAGTGAAATCACTGAGAGAAGGTTCAAGCACAGGCCTGCCAAGGTAGAATTCTGTGTCTGCCCTACTTACAGATTTCCTACAGGCATTTTGAAAAATAAAAATGGCCCAGGAGCACCTCAGTGACTTACATTACTGAGATAACTTTGACGATGGCAATTTTCCAACACATACAAAGGTAGAATGAACCTTTAAGTGGCCATCACTAAGGTAGCTTTTTGAAATTTTCTTCTCTGGTTATAAAACAATGTGTGCTCATTATAGGAAGTTTGGAAAACACAGAAAGGAAAAATGAAGAAAGGAAGAAAACATAAAACTCTACGCATAGGTAACCCAGATTTCTGTATAGTGCCTAGACATTTCCCAAGTGCATTTACTGGGCAGCATCACTCCAGAAACTGGGAAATGGCTGAGGGAGCTCTTTCCCAAAGTGGTTTGAGAACACTGATCCTAGAACTGTGCCTCCCTGAAACAACTAGATAAGTAAGATCTGGACTGTACCTTGGATAAAGGCATCGTATCTATGCACTTGTTAAATAAGTCTGGGAATGGGCTGAGCACTGTGTCTCCTTCTTGAAGAGTCATTGTGCACTTTAATGGTTAAAGGCCCTTAGAAATCCTGCAGTAGAGAAGCTCGTTTAAAGTTATTGAATCCAGGGTTTTCGGTTTTGTTTTTTTTTCAGTCACTTTTTATTCATTAATCTCTTTCTACAAAGTAGGGTTTTTTTTGTTTTGTTTTGTTTTGTCTTAAGAAAACTTTTTATTATGGCAAATTTCAAACATATACAAAAATCAGAGAGAAGAGTAAATAAACCACCATGTACCCATGACCCAGCTTCATGATTGTCAACTCATGGCCACTTGGGCTTCATCTAATTCCCACCTATTTTTCCTCTCATTTTTTTTTTTTTTTTTTTGAGACAGTCTTGCTCTGTCGCCAAGGCTCGAGTGCAGTGGCGCCATCTCGGCTCACTGCAAGCTCTGCCTCCCGGGTTCCCGCCATTCTCCTGCCTCAGCCTCCTGAGTAGCTGGGACTACAGGCGCCCACCACCACGCCCGGCTAATTTTTTGTGTTTTTAGTACAGACGGGATTTCACCATGTTTGCCAGAATGGTCTCGATCTCCTGACCTTGTGATCCGCCCGCCTCGGCCTCCCAAAGTGCTGGGATTACAGGCGTGAGCCACCGCGCCCGGCCTCCTCTCATGTTATTTTGAAGCTAATTCCAGATGCCATATTATTTCATTTGTAATATTTCAGTATATACTTTTAGAAGGTAAGGACTCTTTGTTTTTTAAACATAACACCAAGCTATTACCCCTGTAAGAATTTTAACAATCATTATTTGATCTCATCATTAAATACCTAAACAGTATCCCAGTCGTTTCAGAAATGTCATAAATACATGTGTGTGCCTTTAATTTACCATTTGTTTGAGTCAGGATCCAATTAAGGTCCATCCATTGCAATGGGTTATCTTTTGAAAATTTTTATAGTGGTAAAATATACATAATATGAACTTTATTATTTTAGCCATCATTCAATGTACACTCCATGGCATTGACTACATTTACGTGATTGTGCAACCATCAGCACCATCCATCTCTAGAACTTTCTATGTTTCTCCAAATTGAAACTCTGTATGCAATAACTCCCCATTTCCCCTTGCCCCCTGCCACTGGCAACGGCCTTTCTACTTTCTGTCTTCAAGAATTTGACTGTTCTACATACATTACATAAGTGGAGTCATACAGTCTTTGCCTTTTTGTGACTGGCTCATTTCACTTGGCATACTGTCCTCAAGTTTCATCCATATTGTAGCATCCATATTGTAGCATCCATATTGTGGTTACGTTTTACATCTCGTTTAATCCGTAGGGCCATATCTTTTCCGCCTTGCTGTTGAGGAACCTGCATTTTTGTCCTGTAGAGATTCCCATGGTCTGGGTTTTGCTGACTGTATCCCCATGTTCCTCTGTCTTCTGTATTTCTTGTAAATTGGTGATTGGATGTAGAGGCTTGAACAGGCTCAGTTTGATTTTGTTTTGGGGGTTTTTTTGATGGGAGTCAACTGCTTCATAGCTGATGCTGATGTTTCATCAGGAGGCACATAATGGCTGCGGTCTCTCTCCATCTATCTTTGATATAGCTAAGATATATGTGTATTGTAAATCAAAGAGTATCTGAGACAAGTCTCAATCAATTTAGAAAGTTTATTTTTGCCAAGTTAGGAATGTACTTGTGACATAGCCTCAGGAGGTCCTGACAACATATGCCTAAGGTACTCAGGGCACAGTTTGGTTTTAAACATTTTAGGGAGACATGAGACATCAGTCAATATATGTAAGATGTATATTGGTTCAGTCCAGAAAGGCAGAACAACCTGAAGTGGGAGGGGGTTTCCAGGTCATGGGTAGGTAAGAGACAAATGGTTGCATTCTTTTGAATTTCTGATTAGCCTTTCACTGAATATGCAATTTAGAGGAATAGCCATTTATGCTTCAGTCTGGCTTAGTGAAACGACACAGAAAAGGAAACAATTATATGTACATTTGTTCCACATGAGCAGAGGGATGACTTTGAGTTCTGCCTTCCTTTGTCCACAAAACTTCCTTGTGGGCAAATTATAAGAGAGGTTTGTGGCTTTTTTTTTTTTTAATCTTTGTAGCTATCTTATTTAGGAATAGGATGGGAAACAGGTTTGTCCTACATGGTTCCCAGCTTGACTTTTCCATTTGGCTTAGTGATTTTGGGGTCCTGAGATTTATTTTCCTCTCACAGTGTAGATATATAGATATTTAGAGTTTCTTTAGTTTTTATTTTTTTGTTTGTTTGTTTTGTTTTTTGAGACGGAGTCTCGCTCTCCCCCAGGCTGGAGTGTAGTGGCTCGATCTCGGCTCACTGCAAGCTCTGCCTCCTGGGTTCACACCACTCTCCTGCCTCAGCCTCCTGAGTAGCTGGGAGCACAGGCGCGCACCACCACACCCGGCTAATTTTTTGTATTTTTAGTAGTGATGGGGTTTCACCGTGTTAGCCAGGATGGTCTCGATCTCCTGACCTCGTGATCCGCCCGCCTCAGCCTCCCAAAGTGCTGGGATTATAGGCGTGAGCCATCGCGTCTGGCCTTTAGTTTTTATTTTTAAATAATTTCAAACTTGTAGAGAAGACGGAAGAATCATACAAAGAACTCTCATGTACACCTTACCTAGATTCACCAATTTGTAACATTGATTGTCCCACATTTACTTTATTGCTCTCTCCGTATGTGCTGTGGGTATAATTATTATTGTTATTATTTTATTTATTTATTTATTATTATTTTTTGACATGGGGTTTCCCTCTTGTTGCTAAGACTGGAATGCAGTGGCATGATCTCGGTTCACCGCAACCTCTGCCCCCCAGGTTCAAGCAATTCTCCTGCCTTAGCCTCCTGAGTAGCTGGGATTACAGGCGTGCACCAACACGTCTGGCTAATTTTTATGGTTTTAGTAGAGACGGGGTTTCGCCACGTTGGCCAGGCTAGTCTCGAACTCCTGACCTCAGGTGATCCACCCACCTCAGCCTCCCAAAGTGCTAGGATCACAGGCGTGAGCCACCACGTCCGGCCTATTTTATTTTGTTTTCGAGACAGAGTCTCGCTCTATCACCCAGGCTGTGGTGCAGTGGCGCGGTCTTGGCTCACTGCAACCTCCACCTGCTGGGTTGAAGCAATTCTCTTGCTTCAGCCTCCTGAGTAGCTGGGACTACTGGCAAGTGCCACCACGCCTGGCTAATTTTTTGTATTTTTAGTAGAGATGGAGTTTTGCTGTGTTGGCCAGGCTGGGTTTGAACTCCTGACCTCAAGTGATCCGCCCGCCTTGCCCTCCCAAAGTGCTGGGATTATAGGCTTGTGCCACCATGCCCGGCTGTGTATAATTATTTTTGTTTCAGAACTATTTGGAAGTATGTTGCACATGCATTATTACTCTTTACCCCCCATAATGCTTCAGTTTACTTCCTAAGAACAATAATACTATCTAAATATCCATAGTAATTAATTTCAGGAAACTTAATATACTAGATACAATGCTTGTATTAATCTGTAGTTCATATTCCCCTTTTGTTAATTGTCACAATAATGTTCTTTCTAGCACCATTTTTTTTCCTGGTATAGTTTCCAGTTCAGAATCATGTTTCCTATTTATTTTATTTATTTATTTATTTATTTATTTATTTATTTATTTATTTATTTTGAGACGGAGTCCGCTCTGTTGCCCAGGCTGGAGTGCAGTGGCCGGATCTCAGCTCACTGCAAGCTCCGCCTCCCAGGTTTACACCATTCTCCTGCCTCAGCCTCCCGAGTAGCCAGGACTACAGGCGCCCGCCACAGCGCTCGGCTAGTTTTTTGTATTTTTTAGTAGAGACGGTGTTTCACCATGTTAGCCAGGATGGTCTTGATCTCCTGACCTCGTGATCCGCCCGTCTCGGCCTCCCAAAGTGCAGGGATTACAGGCTTGAGCCACCGCGCCCGGCCAGTTTCCTATTTATTTGTCATCTTCCTTTCGAATTCTTTAATCTGGAACAGTCCTTTGGCCTTTCTTTGTCTTTTTATGCCAATGATATTTTTTAAGAATATAAGCTAATTACTTTGTAAACATTCCTCAATTTGGGTTTCTATGATGTGTCTTCACAGTTACATTCAGGTTATGTCATTTTGGCTGGACCGGTATATAAATGTCCTCCTCAGGATATCACGTCAAGATATGTATGATGTTTGTTTGTACCCTTATTGTTGATGTTAATTTTTTGTTGGTGGTGGTAGTAAGTATGTAAGACTTTTTTGTTGGTGGTGGTAGTAAGTATGGAGGTGTGTTTTCAAAGTCAACCAAAGTGGAATTAATAGTTCAAAGAGTAAATGTTTCTGTAAATTAATTTTAGTGTTTTAAGGTATCATTTCGTACTTCCTACCAGCAATGTTTGAAAGTACCTGTTCCTCCACAGTCTTACTTACAAAATGTGTGCAACCCTCCTGGAGTCTTTTGCTTCTAGCTGCATAAAGGGAGAAAAGGGAGGGAGCCAGGGATCATGTGGGAGGTCTTAGGGGTTAAGCCTGGAAGTAGCATTCCTTAATTGTTACTCTCAACATGTCATTGGCCATGACTAGTCATATGGCCCCAACCTAGCTGCATGGGAAATGTAGTCTTTGACTATATTTAGGTTCACCTTACTCTCTTTCAAAGGCTATATAGATTCTATTATTTTTATATACTGTAATTTATTAATCATCCTATTGACTGGCATTTAGGTACTTTCAAGTTTGTTTGTTTGTTTGTTGTTTTAAACAGTGTTTATGTATGCCTATGTCTAAAGAAAATTTCCTAGAAGTAGACAGCTGGGTTGGAAAATATGTGTATTTTAACCTTTGATAAATTTTACCAAATTGTTCTCCAAAAAGTTTGTTCCTGTTTTGCTTCCATCAACAGAATATGAGAGTGTAAATTTCCCTGTTCTCTTCTTAATACTACATTATGAAATTTTAAAAATTTTGCAATTTAGTAGTTTAAATTATTTTGGGGGTAATTGTATTTCTTAATTACAAAAGAGGTGTAGCATCTCTCACAATGTTTTTTAGACATTTTAATAATTTCTGTTAATACCGTTTGGCCATTTATATAGTGGATGTTCATCTTATTGATTTGAAACAACTTTGTATATTAAAGATTTTCAGCTCCTTGTGGGTGTTGCAGATATTCTTCTTTTACCTTTTTCATTTGGGCAGGAGGCAGAAGTAGCATATTAAGAAAATAATGGATGCACTGCTCTGAAAATTTTACGTTTTGTTTCAGATCATTATATAGAAGTTCTGGAATGCAAAATACAGTGTGAAGAGAACCTCACCCCAGTTATAGGAGGCTATCCAGTTGAGAAATTTGTGGCTACCATGTATCATTACTTGCAGTTTGCCTATTATAAGTGTAAGTAATCTTCTGTGTCATCTTGGGTGAGTCCTTCTAAGACTGTAAAATAGAAGTAATAACTCTTAGCTATGGCTGTTGAGAGTTCATCGAGGTCACACTGACAACTCTGGTGCCATGCTTTGTGCAAAAAGGCAGCATGGCTTAGTGATTCAGGGCAGAGCCTGTAACCACACTGCCTGGGTTCGATTTCAGCCTTATCACTTACTAGCTTCTCTGTGCTTTAGTTTCCTCATTGTGAATACAGATTGTAGTACTAACCTTATAGGATTGTCATGAGGACTAAATGAATTCATAGATGTGAAATGTCTGGGGTATTCCCGCCACACTGGCACATAGCAAACTGTGTGTTTGTTTTTGTTACCATTATTTGCCTTCCTCCTCATCACTGGCTTTACTTTTCAGACTGTTTGAGTTTCTTTTCTTTTCTTTTTTTTTTTTCTTTTGAGACTTGCTCTGTTACCCAGCCTGGAGTGCAGTGGTGTGATCTTGACTTACTGCAACCTCCACCTCCAAGGTTCAAGTGATTACCCTTCCTCAGCCTCCTGAGTAGCTGGGATTACAGGTGTGCACCACCACACCCAACTAATTTTTTGTATTTTTAGTAGAGATGTGGTTTCACTGTGTTGGCCAGGCTGGTCTTGAACTCCTGACCTCAAGTAATCCACCCACTTCAGCCTCCCAAAGTGCTGGGATTACAGGTGTGAGCCACTGCACCCATCGCCCTCCCTTGATCTGAAATGGGAGTTTCTCAATCAGAACGTTCTAGTGGACAATGGGAGGCAAACATGGGTGAGAAGGAAGTACAGAGTTAGACTTCAGAGGCTGTGTGTTTCGGCTTTTCCTCCTCTCCCTGTACCTGACTTTGCCAAGTGCCACTTGTTCAAGCAGTGTGTCCCTTGGCAGTTCAGTTCCAAGCATAGAAGAATTATTAGGGACAGTGGCAGCAGGAATGCTTCTGCCCTAATGAAGTGCCAGGGTCTAGTGGTGGCAGCTTTCTGGCTAGAATAGATCCCCCGGGTTGCCCCTTCACTCCCTTTGGGAGTGGCTGGTCTCAGGGTGTCGTGGGAAAAGTGAGAGAGGTGATCTTGGCTTTAGCCCTCCTTTCCCACTGTGATAATTGTGTTTTTTGTTGGGATTCCTCATTATCTCACCTCCCATCCTCTTCAGAACACAGGGTGAGCCTTGCACCCTGAAGGTCAGAAAAAGAAAAAGAATATGTATTATATAAATATAAAAAGCCATAAGGTCTTCTAGCTCACTGAGCATGGCTTGGTTCTAAATGTATAAAGCTAGAACACTAGGAATTTAGAAGTATTCTGGACACATCCGGGCTCTGGCAGCTCCCTGGCCCTCTGAAATCCTCACATGCCCTGAAAATCGCCCTGCATAACGGAAACTGGCAAACACTTATCAACACTGGTAGACTGAGGCCTCTAGCCATGCTTGCTGCTTCCCAGGAAATCTGCTTTCGGGGATCAACAGTATGAATGAAATGTACTTCCTGAAATGAGATTCCTGAAAATCTGCCCTGTTTTGAATTTTTCCTAGACCATCTACCACACTACATTGCTTGAGGGCAGGTGCTGGTGTTTATATTTGAAGAGTAAATGCCCCTAAAGGCTGGCTTTAAAGTAGTCATTACAGGAAACAGTCACTGGGTGGCACAATTTATTCATACCCAAGCTTTGGCTACTCTGGCCAACCACAGCTTTAGCAGAGGTACTGTTGTGTAAATTAGAGTGGAATGTGCCGGAATAAATACGAGGGGCTTTGTGTCTCATCACCTCTTCCTCCTTATCCTGTACTCCCAAGACAAATCCCAAGCCCTGCAAAATCCCTCTGCTGAAGGTACTGTCTTAGGTGGGCAACACCAAACAGAGAGGTTGGAGGTGGGAGTTCTATCCTCAGGAGGTGTCAAAACCAGGCGGTTTTCCAAATCCCCTCCAGCCCAGAGGCTCCACCATCCTTTGGGTTTTCCAGGTCTGGTTTAGCCGTAGGGGAGCTAACCTAGATCTGGAGACTGTGGCCCCATCCAGATGGGATCCAGATACTCTAGGCCCCAAATGAGAAACCTGTTTACTGAGCACATCCTCCCTATCTCCCTCAGCCCCAGGACAATCCAGCTTTTTCCAGCTCCTTCCAGGCACTTGAGACCAGCTCGGGTCACCAGAGCTGGAGGTGGAACATAGGCATTTCTCCGTAGGTATGTGCCTAACTAGAACTAAGTTTCAAGCCTGGCTTCTAGGCTACTGTGGAGACCCCATCTGTGGCGTGCCCACCCAGGGCTGCCAGTCGGCCCCAGGCTCTCTGAAGGAAGGACAGTGGAGAAGGGGCTTGTTCATATGACCTTTTGTTTAGAAGCAGAACCAGTGAGAGGAATTATAGGGCGTGGTTTGCTGATGTCTTCATTTGTCTTTTCTTCCCAACCCCAGTGAACGACCTGAAGAATGCAGCCCCCTGTGCAGTCAGCTACCTGCTCTTTGATCAGAATGACAAGGTCATGCAGCAGAACCTGGTGTATTACCAGTACCACAGGGACACTTGGGGCCTCTCGGATGAGCACTTCCAGCCCAGACCTGTAAGTCTGGTGCACCACACCTTCCCTTTTCTCTTCATTCTCGCCTTCTGGAGACTACCTTGTACCTTAAGAGAAAGGGTTATTTTGAAAATAAAGGGGCTGGGCACGGTGGGTCACGCCTGTAATCCTGGCACTTTGGGAGGCCGAGGCAGGCAGATCATGATGTCAGGAGTTCGAGACCAGCCTGGCCAACACAGTGAAACCCCGTCTCTACTAATACAAAAATTAGCCAGGCGTGGTGGCACGCGGCTGTAGTCCCAGCTACTTGGGAGGGTGAGGCAGAAGAATCACTTGAACCTGGGAGGCAGAGGTTGCAATGAGCCAAGATTGGGCCCCTGCCCTCCAGCCTGGAGACAGAGCGATACTCTGTCTGAAAAAAAAAAAAGGAAGTAAAGGAAAAGTCATTTTTTTCTGTAGTTTTGCGCGTGTGTGTGTTGTAACATTTTACTGCTTCATTCTGATTTCTGAATCTGTAAAAACTCTACAAATTTCGATCATTGCAGAAATATTTTACTTGGAAAGCAAACTTCTCTCATAATCCTACACCTTCTCACTCTCTCTCTTTTTTTTTGAGACAGATTCTTGCTCTGTTGCCTAGGCTGGAGTGCAGTGGCGTGATATCGGCTCACTGCATCCTCCGCCTCCTGAGTTCAAGCCTCCCGAGTAGCCTCCCGAGTAGCTGGGATTACAGGCATACACCAACACATCAGGCAAATGTTTGTAGTTTTAGTAGAGATGAGGTTTCGCCGTGTTGGCCAGGCTGGTCTCGAACTCCTGACCTCAGGTGATCTACCCACCTCAGCCTTTCAAAGTGCTAGCCACTGCGCCCAACCTGTGCCATCTCTTTATCCCCTGCTTTAAAGGTATATATTTACTCATATATATAGTAAATATTTGTGTATTTTTATAAAAACAAGATCGTATTTACATAGTCTTACAACTTTTTGCAACTTTCTTTGTCTTTCTAACAATTAGTCGTGAATATTTCTCCATGTCACATCCATGTAACTTCTTAATTATTATCCTTTAACAGCTCCCTGGTAGTCTCTTTTGTGGATGGACCATCATTTAATTCCCTTGATAGGCAAACTCACCACTTAGCATGTGTTGTTAGCAAACCCCATTCATCATATATTACTTTCAAAAGATTTTTCCTAATTGATCTTTGCTCTTTACTTGTATTTTCATTGGGATTTCTATATGCCATCTTGATTTTCATAAATTTGTCTTCCACTGAGGGCTGGCCACTCTTTTTTTCTAAAAAATCGAGATATAATTTATATAGGATAGAATTCACCATTTTAAAGCATACAGTTCAGTGGTTGTTAGTATATTCAGAGTTGTACAGCCATTACCACTATCTAATTTTAAACATTTTCATCACCTTAGAAAAACCCCATATCCTGTTCCTCCCTCCTCCCAGTTCTAAGATGAAAACGTTGGTCCTATAAACTGTTCTCTGTTGTGTCTGAACAGGAAGCGGTTCAGTTCTTTAACGTGACCACACTCCAGAAGGAGCTGTATGACTTTGCTAAGGAAAATATAATGGATGATGATGAGGTGAGTTTTCATGCTTAGCACATGTCTGGTGGCTAAAAGAAAATATTGCTCACATCTTTGCTAAAAATCACTGGAAGGCCAAGTCCTCCCTGAAGTAAGAAACAGAGGGGACCTTGAGAAGAACAGTTACTGTGGGTGTTTCAATGACAGCCAGAACGCTGGCATGGGAAAGAGCAGCTTTCTAGGAAACCCAGGCAGGAGTGCCACATTTCCTGATAGTGAAACGGGTGTGGGGCGACGCTCCAGGAATTCACAGTGGTCACTCTTCATCTTTGCACTTTATATAAAAACGGTGAATTTTTAATTGCTCAGCACTCTGAAGATACATGGATACTCCCACCCCAATTTTTCTATTAGACTATTGCTATAATTATTTTTTCTAAATTGCATCTTTACTGTAAGCATTTTCTCATTCTCTAGAATTGCTTGAAATTCCTGATTTCACCTTACTCAGCTGACCCGTTTTCTGACCCCGATTCATCTGGTTATGGAGTGGTCATTTTGTGGTGGGGCAGCCTGGTCACAGAAAAGCCATCATTAGCGGTAGTATTTAGAGAGATGTGTTTGGAACAAACAGGAAAATGCTTACTGAGAAAGCTGGGGACGTGTCAGCTATTGGAGCTCTGAGAGAGCTGTGAGCTTGCTCTGGTCTGATCCTTCATTTTGTAGATGAGGAGCATGGGGCCAGCAAGTTTCCTGAGCCTCCAGGTCTGCTCTTCCTATACCCTGGTTTTAGGTGAAGCACCTCTGAATAAGACATCTTCATGGAATTTGTTTTCTGTCTACAAATATGTGTGGGATGAACTCATCACTGGTATTAAACAACTGAGCCTCAGTTCTTTATCCATAAAATGGGAATAATAATACTGCCCTCCCAGGGTTGGAGAATAAAATACTGTGTTGCATGTGGAAATGCTTTCTAAACTGGAAAGTGATGCACATGCCTGTGTCTTGGGTTGTATATCCTTGAAGCAGAGCCTGAGACAGGATCCCAAGATGCCACCGGGGCCATTCCCCCACTCCCTAAAGGGAGGAACACCAGCCAGATACCAACAAGATTGGCCACTGTGGTTTGGAAAGTATAGCAGAGGTTGGGTGTACTGGCTCACGCCTGTGATCCCAGCATTTGGGAGGCCAAAGCAGGTGATTGCTTGAGTCCAGGAGTTCAAGACGAGCCTGGGCAACATGGCGAAAACTTGTCTCTACAAAAAATACAAAAAAATTAACTGGGTGTGGTGGAGTGCACCTGTAGTCCCAGCTACTTGGGAGGCTGAAGGAGTCTGGGGAGGTTGAGGCTGATATTGCGCCATTGCACTCCAGACTCGGCAATTGGAGTAAGACCCTGCCTCAAAAAAAAAAAATAAAAGGAAAGTATAGAAAAATATATTTAGAGGCAGGGCACGGTGGCTCAAGCCTGTAATCCCAGCACTTTGGGAGGCCGAGACGGGCGGATCATGAGGTCAGGAGATCAAGACCATCCTGGCCAACATGGTGAAACCCCATCTCTACCATCTCTACTAAAAAAATACAAAAAAACTAGCCGGGCGAGGTGGCGGGCACCTGTAGTCCCAGCTACTCGGGAGGCTGAGGCAGGAGAATGGCGTAAACCCGGGAGGCGGAGCTTGCAGTGAGCTGAGATCCGGCCACCGCACTCCGGCCTGGGCGACAGAGTGAGACTCCGTCTCAAAAAAAAAAAAAAAAAAAAAAAAAAAAAAAAATATATATATATATATATATATATATATATATATATATATATATATATATATATATTTAGAAAAGGTAGGAGGAGTTGAGTTCCCAGTTATCTAGAGGCAGGCTACTATGGATGTTTTGGTATATATCTTTCCATTGTTTTTTATTATTAAAGAAAAAAATTTTATAGTTTTAAATTTATGTTTTTCTATATATTTATTATAAACTCAGCTATAATTATGTCTCATGACTTTTTCACTTGATATTATAATATGAGCAGTTTCTCTTGTTATATTTTTCTAAACCAGCTTTATTTAGATGTTATTCACATACAGTAAAGTGCTCCTTTTTAAAGTATATAATTCAGTGGTACTTACTGTATCCACAAAATTTTGCATCCATCACTGTTATTTAACTTTAGAACATTTTTATCGCCCCCAAAAGAAACTCCATCGCTAAGTCACTTCCCATTTCTCCTCCGGGCCAACGTTCCCACTCCTGCCTCCACCTCTAGCCCCTGGAATATCCTAATCTACTTTCAGTTTCTGTGGATTCGCCTGTTGTGGCCATTCCATATAAATGGAATCATAGGGTATGTGGTCTTTTGTGAGTGGCTTCTTTCACTGAGCATATATTTTCAAAGTTCAGCCATGTTGAACATGTTACCTGTAAAATTTCCTTTGTACTACCAAGTAATATTCTTCTGTATGGATATATCACATTCTGTTTATACTTTCTTCAGTTGATGGATGTTTGGGTTGGTTCCACTTTTTGGCTATTTTGAATAATGATGCTATGACCATTTGTGTACAAATTTTTGTTTGAACATAAGCTTTCCAGTTTTTTTTTTTATACCTAGGAGTATATACATAGGTATCATGTTAGGCCATTTTTGCATCACTGTAAAGAAATACCTGGCTGGGTGCAATGGCTCATGCCTATAATCCCAGCATTTTGGGAGGCCAAGGCAGGAGGATTGCTTGAGCCCAGGACTAGCCTGAGTAACATAGTGAGACTCTGTCTCTACAGAAAATTTAAAAATTAGCTGGGCATGGTGGCACAGGAAGTGTGGCAACGGCATCTGCTCGGCCTCTGGTGACGTCTCAGGAAGCTTATGGTCATGGCAAAGGGGGAGCTGGCATACGTCACATGGCAAGAGCAGTGCCACACTCTTTTAAACAACTAGATCTCGTGTGAACTCAGAGTGAGAACTCACTTATTATCATGAGGAGAGCACCAAGACATTTTTGAGGCATCTGCCCCCTGACCCGAATACCTTCCACCAGGCCCCACTTCCAACACTGGAGATTACATTTCAACTTGAGATTTGGAGGGGACAAATATCCAAACCAAATCAGGTACATACCTAGGAATGGAATTGCTGGGCCATATGGTAACGGTTTAACCTGTTGAGAAACTGCCAAACTGTTTTTCAAAGTGGCTGTACCATTTACATTCCCATCAGCAGTGTATGAGAGTTCCAACTTTGCAATGTCTTCAACAAAACTTAATATTGTCTTTTTTATTAATAGCCATGCCAGTGGATGTAAGTAGTATTTCATTGCGGTTCCAACTTGCACTTTGTTTGTTTGTTTGTTTTGAGACAGAGTTTCACTCTTATTGCCCAGGCTGGAGTGCAATGGTGCGATCTTGGCTCACTGCAACCTCTGCCTCCCAGGTTCAAGCAATTCTCTTGCCTCAGCCACTGTAGCTGGGATTACAGGTGCGCACCACCATGCCCAGCTAATTTTTTGTATTGTTAGTAGAAATGGGGTTTCACTATGTTGGCCAGGCTGGTCTCGAATTCCTGACCTCAGGCGATCCACCCGCCTCAGCCTCCCAAAATGCTGGGATTACAGGTGTGAGCCACTGCGCCCAGCTTGATTTGCACCTTCTTAGTGACTAATTATGTTGAGCATCCTTTCATGATTGGCCATTTGTATATCTTTGAAGAAACGTCTATTCAAATCTTTTGTCCACTTTAAAATTGTTATTTATCTTTTTATTATTGTGTTGTAGAAGTTCTTTAGATATTCTAGTTATAAGTTCCTTATCAGATATATGAATTGTAGATATTTTCTCACAATCTGTGGGTTTTTTCACTTTCTAAATGGTGTCTTGAAGCACAAGTTTTCAAATTTGATGAAATTCAATTTATCTGTTCTTTCTTTTGTTGCTTTTGTTTTGTGTGTTATATCTAAGAAACCATTGCCTAATCCAAGGTCACAAAGATTTACTCCTGATTTTTACTGCTATGATTTTTATAGTTTTATCTCCTGCATTTAAATTTCCAACCCATTTGAGTTAATTTTATGTATGATATTAGGAAGAGGTCTAGTTTCATTCTCTTGAACGTGAATAGCCAGTTGTTACAGCACTATTTGTTGAAAAGACTTTTTCACCATTGAATTGTCTTGGTACCCTTGAAATAAATCATTATTTTGTCAAATGCTTTTTCTGCATCTATTGAGATGGTCACATGATTTTTGTTTCCCTTATTAGTTAATATTCATTATAAACATGACTTTTCAGTGACTACTATTATATGATATAGAATTTTTAGAAATATAGCCTTTTTGTAGGCATTTAGTTTGCTTCTAACTTTTTTGCTTTTACAAATAGCATAGCAGGGACTAAATTGTTTACTTCTTCTCTAATCATTTCCTTAGAAAAAATTCCCAGTGGTGAAATTCCTGGTCTAAGGCTGTGAACACTTTGAAGACTTCTGATGTATAAGAACAACATATATAGAAAGCAAATCGTAGATATTAGAACACGAAGAGATTTTTCACAGGATTCAGTAAAGCTCTCTCATGTCACAGATAAGGAAACAAACTCAGAAAGATAGAGTGCCTTGCTCATAGTCACACAGAGGGTTAGTAATCATCTAATGAACACACCAAGCTTATTGCAGGCTTTAAAATTCCTAGGATTCTTGGATTTGGCACTTTCAAGATAAAAGGACTTTGTTGAAGGTTCTGGAGTAGTTTGCTTATTAATTGAGGCTTTAGAATTGTGAAAGAACTAATCCATCTCTAAAGAATGAACCATTTTCTTACTATATACCAAATTATGGCAAGTAATACTCTGAAATGAAAATATAACCAAAATCATAAAATTCTTAGTTTAATCCTTCCATTTTCCAAAGGACATACTACTACTTTACCTGCTGATATGTGTGGCATTCTTCCTTATTATCTTTCTGGCATTGAAATGTGTATAAGCACTCCTGAAAGTCTACACACTGGTTCAAAATTTTGCAGAGGTTTATTACAGTTGCAGAAACTTTTTAAAACAGGCTGAAATAGATGCTTCAGGTTTCAAGTTCTGATGGTTGTTTGCTTCAGGAAAGTCCAAAGAAACAGAATATAATTTGTTGGAAGGATTTATTGAGGGAGTGCTCTCAGGTAAGAACAGAATGAGGGTCAGAGGAAGGAGCTCAACAAAGATGTGGTCTCAGCTGGAGTCAAGCTTCGCCTGCTCCCACGGGGGACTCTGGAGCAGGAATTGCACCGCAGAGTTGTTCCTGCCTTTTGTAGTCCCCCTTATCAGTCTGTCATTCATTCTTTGTTGTCAGGAGGGGCTGGTGTGTAGCCTCTCTGGCAAGACTGCTGTTGTTTTTTTGTTGTTGTTGTTTGGCCAAAAGCAATTGCCCAGAGATGGGGCAGCTGCCAGCCATTAGCAAACGGCCCTCGCCGGAGTTGGGGATGGGTGCGCTGGGGAGGAGATCTGAGCGAGGCCCCAGCAGTATTCACTACAACAGCCATGCAGGGGATGCAGTTCTTTCCTCTGTGCTGCCTCGGGCACTCGTTACTAGGGAGCTAAAAGCAAATAATACCATCATCCCGCAAGTCACAACAGACACACAGCAGGATATAGTAACTCCCTAAGCAGAAGTTGTGGCTATACACATAATCCCTCTACTATGCTGTGTTTTCCTTTTGGGGTCTAGAAAGCAACTGAAAAACACTTTTTCCAAGCCATAGTGTTCTACTGTTACAATTTGAGTTTCTAATCTCAGGCATGACATAGTAGAAGTATTTGATGATAATACTAAGACTCCCATTTGTGTCTCATGTACTTGATAGGTTTTCCAGTTATTCCCAAATGCTGCAAGATTTGTATAAATTTCTCTGTGTTAAAACATCAAAAGGAGCCAACTCTGGCCTGGGATGGTGAGCTCAGTGAAGGGGTCGAGCTTTAGCAGGGGTGGTGGGGCCGGTCTGTGCTGACTCTTACGGAAGGTGCCTCAGCCTTGGTCATTCACTCATTCTCTGCAGAAAAGAGAAAGGGTGTCATCAGCTGGTGGTCCAGGAGGGTTATAGGAGAGAAGTCAATGCGGAGAAAGAAATTGGGAAGGGTGCTGGGCTGCTTCAAGTTGAAGTGTAAGGCTGATTGCAGGAGGGAGCAGGTGAGCTCCTGGTACCGACACTGGGCAAGTGGATCCCACTGTCCCTGTGTGTCTCTCCTGTAAGAGGGGTGATTGCTTCAGTCATACCAGCAATATGTATGCATGCACTCAATCATTCATTCTTCAACATATTTATTGAGCACCTTCTGTGTGCTGGGCTCTGGAGAATAAGAATCAAGCCAGGCCCTGGTCCTTGAGAAGTTTGTGTTCTGGTGGTCAAGGCAGAAAGGGAACAGATAGACAGTGTTCCTGTGGGAGACCTGCACGTGAGAGGGGAGGAAGAGGAGTAGGCACAGATGCACACAGGAGGGGCACTTGGTAGAGCTGTTCACAGGCTGGGCTGTCTGCCTCACACAGCATGTTGGCGGATCTCGCAGAGCACTTGTTAGCAAGTTCAAATGGAGTGAAAGCCGAGGTCCCCTCCACAGGGAGAAATCAGGTCCTCTGGGCCCCAGACCAGCAGAGGAAACCTGTTTCAGCCAAAGCAGACAGTGGCAATGGCCTCTCGGGATACTCTTTCTGCTCATCAGCACTTTTAAAAGTCCAATGAGCCCATTTAACAAAGTTGTCCTGTTGTCTCTCACAGGGAGAAGTTGTGGAATACGTGGATGACCTCTTAGAACTGGAGGAGACCAGCTAGCCCACAGCAACCAGACTTCCTGTTGACGTTCAGGAAACACAGATTCTTCGTCCTTTTCCCAACAGCCCAGGCTGTTGATACCTCAGAGCCTTCCCTTTACTCTCCGAAGTGAACGGGAAGCCCCCATCTCTCTCACTACATGTCACCAGGGGTGAGCCTGCCTTTCCCGTCTTCACACCTGCCACCTCGTGTTCACACCTATCTTTCTTACCTTCTTTTTGAGATGGAGTCTCGCTGTGTCGCCCAGGCTGGAGTCCTTTGGCACGTTCTCGGCTCACTGCAACCTCTGCCTCCTGGGTTCAAGCGATTCTCCTGCCTCAGCCTCCCAAGTACCTGGGATTACGGGCATGTACCACCATGCCTGGCTAATTTTGTATTTTCAGTAGAGACGGGGTTTCGCCATGTTGGCCAGGCTGGTCTTGAACTCTTGACTTCAGGTGATCCACCTGCCTTGGCCTCCCACAGTGCTGGGATTACAGGTGTGAGCCACCGTGCCCGGCCTCTTTCTCACCTTTACACCTGTCTTCTTATCCTCACATCTGTTTTCACACCTTCACCCCTGTCTTTCTCATGTTCACACTTGTCTTCCCTGTGTTCATGCCTGACTTTCTCACCATTTTGGTTTGAAGGACAGTCTTCTCTGGCTTGTATTTTTGTTTTGTTTCTTTTTTTTTTCCCCAGAAAATCAGTATTATTTTTTAAATAAGAGAAACCTTCCTAAAAGATGATAATTGTGAAAACCTCCTTTGGCTTGTTTGCTCTTCCAGATTTTAGTCTCCTTTCTCCCCATCCAGGAAAGATGGTGGAAGACAAAGGCTAAATTTCTCCAGCCTCACAGTGGTCTTCACTTGGTCTGACTTGTACCAGTTCTAGCACCCACTGAAAAACAAGTTGAGTAGAGAGTGTAGAGTACAGAAATGTGGCTTTTGCCCCACTTCGCAGCTCCAAAATTACAACGGTTGGCCAATCCCATTTGAGGACAATGCTTAGTTATAAGTCTCCGACATGGAAAAAGAAGAAAGTCAGAGCTGTCTAGTTTCATTTATTCTTTCAGTAAATGTTTATTGAGTACCTACTGTGTGCTAGGCATTGACCAGGGAACTACAGATACTTCACCGAATAACGGGAAAGTTCCCTGTGCTCATGGAGCTTACATTCTACAGGGAGAAAGAGATAGCCAATACATAGGAATAAATATATACAAGGTATCATATAGTGATAATTGCTATGGAGAAAAATAAAGCAGGGGAGGGAGTAAGAAATCCTAGAGATGAGGCTGCAGTTTTAAATGGGGCCTCACTGGGAAAGTGACATTAGAGCAGAGACGGGAAGTGGATCCTGGCCAAGGCATTCAAGGCAGAGGAGCAGGATGTGCAGTGCCCCTGCTCTGCATGGTCAGGGAAGAGCAGGGAGACCCAGCAGAGTCATGGGCAGGGGAGAATGGAAGGAGAGACGGCTGGGGAGGAGGTCAGGTGGTGGAGGGCCTTGACTTGGCTTCTGCTGAGTGAGATGGGAGCCACTGGAGGGTTTGAACAGAGGAGTGCCTTGATTGATTTATATTTTGCAAGGGTCATTCTAGCTGCCATATTGTGAAAAACTTTAGTGGACAAGGGCAGAAGGAAGAGGGAAGACCTGTTAGGAAGCTGCTGCAAGATTCCAGTCTTGGGCCTGGGCCACAGCAACAGAAGTGGCCAAATCTCTAGATTTATTTTGAAAGCAGAGCCAATAGGATTTGCTGAGAGGTTGAATGTGCAGTGTAAGAGAAGGAAGAGTTAATGATGACATTAAGGTTTTCGGCCTGAATAGCAGGAAAGATGGAGTTACCAGTTACTGAAACGGAAGGATGGGCTGGGTAAGTAAGGAATTTGGTGCAAAGCAGGCTGTCTGTGGTTGGAATGGGAGGTTCTGGCTGCAAATCAAAGTGGAGAGTTTTCTCAGGTCAGGTCTGCAGCAGAGCTCGAGACAGGGATCTTAATGCACTTGGTTTATTGTGGGGGGTGCTCTCGGAACCTGTGAAAGCCTCTATCAGTCATTTATTGGCTGTGAGAAGTTCTCTGGGAGTGCTGGTACATTTGAAGGCAAGTGGCTTCAGTTGAGGGCAAGTCTCTGGAAAAGAGGCTGTAGGCATCTGGCGGCTGCCATGCATGGTAGTGTGTTGGTGGGTGTGGGGTCCTGGGAACTGGCTCTGTGAAGGGATCTGGAGGGCACCACAGCGCCCCCTACTGAACCATCAGCATGTCAGTGGCCTTTAAAGCCATGCGGCCGGAGGGGCCACTGAGATTGTCTCTGAGTATTACGGAGAAGCAACAGAAAAGAGCCATGGATGGAGCCCTTGGGCTCTCTGGGAAATCGGAAATCAGCCAAAGAGACTGAGAAGGAGTTACCTTAAGGTCAGAGAAAACCAAGAGAGTGTGGTGTTCTGGAAGCTGAGCTTTCTTTATTCAGGCTCATTCCCTTCCCCAAAGAAGCCACTTGCGTAGTTGGGCCCCTCCAGGGTTGAAGGCAAGAGGAGAAAGGCACAGCATTTGGGAAACAAGACTTTTCCTGCAATAGCCTGGGAAGGAATAAAAGGATAGAGTGTTTGGGTTTTTGTGTAATGGTGGTTAATTGGGGTGGAACACTCACACACTGTGCTTTTTCTGGGCTTTCCTTATCCCTCAGAACACTACCAACGTCGGGGAACTTGGGCACATCCTTCTGTTTCTCCTTCAGTTCTATCCTGCTTCCCTCATCCCTCTGACACCATGTCCTCACTCACCTGCACAAGAATCCCTGCATCAGGTTCTCTTTTGAGGGTGCCCAACCCAGGACAGTCCCCTGCCACTTCTGTCTTGGGCTGAAGTTGCCCATGTCCACAGAGTCTGTACTCCCAGCGGGGGTGTTTGACCCGAAGAGTCAGTGTTATTACTGGTGGATGCACCATGTCCACAGCAGCCCCCCAATCCCAGCGATGCGTCAGATCTTATGTGGCTTCCTGCTGGGGGAGATGGCCTTTGCCCACGGGATGCCGGGTTCTCCTTTATTTCCTCACCCCACCCTCTACTCTACCAGAGAAACCTCCTTTTGAACTCAGTGGGGAAGAGGGTGATGAGACAGGACTAGAAAGTAGTGGAGGACCCAGCGAGTGGACGCCCTGCTCCGGGATTCCTGAGTCTGTAGATAGTGTGCCCAGCAGCTGTGAACTCCCCTTATAGCCCTGGGCTGCAATGTCCTTCCCAGCTGTGTGAGACAATGAAAGCCGACGTCCACAGGGACCCAGGCTGGGTTGGGTGTTGTGACTTACTCCACCTCTGTGCCCTGCAGAGGTCCCGTTGGGTCCTTGTCTTGTGAGCTTGGGGTGAGCTTTCTGTACATGATGTTGTTCCACATATGGGTTGAGTTGGCATGGTAGGGGGTCCTCGTTTACTCTCTGAAGTTGGCCTCCTTTCACTGGGGATTGAAAAGCACCTCCACCCCTACCCTAGCGATGTCCCCTGAGGACCCTGGTGATAGTACAGTCAATATTGTCAGTACTTTGCTTTGATTGAAGGCTGTGGAGCTGAGTTACCAAAATTTCTATTTCAAAGGAAACCAAACCTTAAAAAAAAAAAAAAAAAAGTGGGCTGGTTCTTCCAAACCTACCGTGAAACCCTGATGTGCAGGCTGCACTCAATGACCTCAACCCAACACCTCCCTGTGTTTCTTGGAAGAGCCTAGAAGATTCCTGGATTGAGACCCCATTGGTTCAGCCTCAGTCTGGCCTGTCTTGAAAAAAACAAACACATTTGTAAGCTTTGTGGGAGCTTCCAGGCCCGCTGTAAGACGCCTCGCTTGTCCTTTGGCCCATCAGCATGGAGTTCAGTGGTTGCTCTTTGGTTCTGCAGGCTGGTGGGGAGGCCGCCCATCGTGGTGGGGCATCTGTCCAGCCCCATTGCCACTCAGGGCATCCAAGCAGGAGGCACCCGCTGGGAAGGGTCTAAAGATACTCCTTGTGGCCACTGCTACTGTTCACATTTGACTTGCGGAGAAGTGAAGGGCTGAGGGGAGGTTTGTGTACACACATGTAATTAAAAGTGACTAACTGACCGAAGTGAGCACATACCAACATACGCAACATACTAATATCTTCCTGATTTTTGAGACTTTCTAATTACTACAACTAACCTGTTGTGCTCACCTCTGGAATTCAGAAAGAGAGCCACTGCGAGCACTGACCACAAGGGCTGCCTTAGGAAGGAAATGTGTGCTTTCAGTTCTTATTAGGGGAATTTTAAGAGCACAAAAATTTTATTGAACCCACCTCAGTGGCAAACAGAAAATGATTTGTTAGATTGTCAGTGCGAAGGGGTTTATTATGACTGCTGGTGGAATAAACAGTGACCGGTTTCTGCCAACATTTATGGAAATAACGTTTCTAAGTTTTAAATGTGAGCTGTAAACCGAAGCCACTTCAGTTAAAAAAAAAAAATCAATACTTAAACTGTAGGGAAAAGGTGGATCGGTGCCAGAGAAAACATTATTTAATAGTGTCGGAACATGGAACTGCAACACAGTTTGTAGCAAGGCACTGAGAAAAACCCACAACTAATCCTTCATCGCAGCTGTCTGAACTCTTGATCATCTGCCATCCCCCAAACAGGGACTTCTTTTTTTCTGGTGACTCCAGGCCTGAATGACCTAGTGTGGAGAGTTTAAACTATGTACAAGGGAGCAAAGAAAAAACGGAAAGGAACCTTAAGTAAGCCTCAGCCAAAGGTTTTATGCATGGGACTTCCTGTGCCTGCAGCCAGGGGCAAGACCGATCCCCATGCCTGTCCCCATGACATCTCCCTGAAAGAGAAGACACCATGACAGCCCGGCTTTGCCTTGACTGACCCACTCCTACCCCAGAAATAAGAATCAAGAGCAGCCATGGTTATCCTTAGCCGGCCACATATCCTGGCACCTGACATTGTCCCCACACAAATAGCTGACTTTCGTTGCTTGTTGAATGAATGAGTTGGCTGTATATCCTCTTGGAGCTAGCAGGTAAGATATTAGTGCCTCATTTTATAAGAAGAGAATAGGAAGGAAGGAAGCAATTTGGCCAACAGACACAAGATAAAGATTCCAGAGTTTTATCTCCCACTTTAGGGTGGCAGTCAGTAGGCCAAACTCCAAAGGCCACTGCTGATGTCTTTCTCTGCCTCCTCTCTTTGGGTTAGTGTGGTATGTACAAGCTCACTCTTGTTGAAAATTAGAACTCAGAAAATAGTTGAAAACAAAAGCTTTTTGTTTTTTTACATCACATTAAATGTTTTACTTTGCTTATTCTCTA